TATATACATATGTGTATATATTTTGGTGTGTGTATATATAATTTAAAAAGCAAGTATTAAAGTAGAAAGTAACAAGTAGAAATTATGCACCTAAAATAAATGAAAATATTTATTATAAATATGAATTTTGACAGCAGTTTTAGAAAAATTAATTTAGGATTTTTTTTTTCTGTGACTTAAATAGAAACGCCTCAGTTTGTGAGTTGGATTTCTTTATTTATAATAATTTAATGAAAGAGCGCATATAAATAAATTAAAACAATGATGAAACAAGCCTAAATATTCACACAGGATAATTTTTTCTCGTTGCTGCTGTTTTTTTTGTTTTTTTTAATACATATTTTTTGCTGCTGTGATTTTGGTATTTTTTTTCGTGACCCACAGCTTAGGGATAAAATGTAAATTGTTTTTAAATAAAGTCATTATTTAAGCTCCTGTTGTAGTGTAACAGGAGATTTCCTGAAATCAGAGATAATTATAAGGCTCCTTAACGCTGGCCACTGGTCCAGAGTGCAGTAATGAAGCCTTACTGTGTAAATTCAGTTGCATCATGCTGATGTGTGTAACATATGTACCATCAGCAGTAATGGATCACTAAAGTAGCTGTTTGGCAGATTTATGACCTGAGGGCTACAGACACACCTTGGTGTGTGCGATCATTTTCATTTTTTTTTGCATAAATGCCTCGAAAGCCCAAATTTTATTACTGTGTGTGTGTGTGTACATAATCCCTGCTCTTCTCTTTTATTCACAGGCTCATTATTTTGGAATTACATGAGTTTTCCTGGCTGGAAGTCAAAACCAAGGTTAGTTAAGCATATTTTCTCTGTTTTAGTAAAAAATAAAATGTATATATACATATATATGTACATAATGCTTTTTAAAAGTTGCATGCTTAGTTGTCACGTGTGTGTGTGTGTTCCTGGATTACCAGATTCCTGAAAACCTCTCGGCTTGTTGGTCTGGAGTTTAAAAATTTGCTTTATTTGTTTTTTTTGCTGGAAGCTGCCTGCAGGCATGCAAACACAACTTCCAGTTTGTCTTTAATTCGTCAAACAAAATCGCTTTGCAGCACACAACAGCCAGCAATATGCGTCTCGTTAAAAGTCAGCTTGTGTGTATAAGTAAGCATGTGCAGCAGCACCGAGATAATCTCCTGGAGGGAAATTAGTGGTGGTGGAAAAAAAAAGGGGGGGGAGGAAAGAAAAGCCTTCAGCCTAAAGGTCAAATGAAGATTAGAGGGAAACCGTACACGAGTACACGCTGGCCTGCACCCCGGAACTGCACAAAGGCCTCATTGTGACCGAGCTGCCCTGCACAGACCCTCCGCCTTCTTAGGGAGACATGACACCTGTTGGCGGTTTTAGTCAACTGCACACAAAGCAACTGATGCTCAAACTGTAAGCTTTTACCTGCATTATAGCCACAATTTCATCCAGTTGATGCTTACAAAAACTACTTTATTTCAGGTTGTATGCATTTTAAATTGTCATTATTATCTGCTGCTATTTTTTTCATAGTTTAGAAAATTTAGAGGAGTCCTAAAACAAGAGATCGGGTTACAAAACAGATTAAAAAATATATATTTTGTACTTTATGTATACTTTATATACATACAGTACACTTTATGCATTTTTAATCTTTTTGCTGGTTTACTTTGTGGACCATTGGACGGATTCAAACACGAGTTCTTTGACGGAAGTGGTAGTTTTGAGATCCAGCTGAAAATAAAGGAACTACAAAATTAAATGTGTTATATTTCCCTAATCTGTGGTGGAGTTTCTAATTCTAAAAGTGGGAAATTTGATGCGATTTGATGTATTAATGGACTGAATAATTATGGATTTTTGGATTCGGTGAAATACAACATAAATTACATTTTCCAGGCTTTGAGCTGCCAATGACCATTTAGAGAAAATAAAAGAGAACTGGTTGAATAAATTCGCTGACTGACTGGTGCATATCTAGTTGTAGCATCTTAGTCAACAAAATCCAGTTTTTCTGCCTTAAAGGTATAGTGAATGATTTTTGCAAATTTTTGAAAAGTCCCGCCCTCTTAATTAAAAATAAAAAAAACCCAAAAAACTAACATGCCTAATCCTGTACCCGTTTCCACAAGGGAACGCCTATTGAACACGTGTGAGAGCGTGCACTACACCATTTCTCCTCGTGCACGCTGTTTAAAAGATGCTCTTTGCTTCGCTCAGACAAGCTTGTTTTCCAATAGAAGATTTGCAATTTTACCACCATGTCAGACTCACCACCAGTGAAAATGGGGAGAATCTCGTAGGACGCCTTACGTAAACATATCACCAGAATGATTGACAATTAGGAGGACCACTTATTTTGATGATCCACCTGGAAAAAGAACATCCTGCACTATACCTTTAAAAAAACACTGCACCAATAATTCTAGGCTCGGCTGGTGCTAAAATATCAAAATGCAGTGAAACCAACTTTTTACTGCAGTAAATATGCAGCCTGCTTTAAATAATCTACTTGTATTATTGGATAATAAATACCTTAATTGTGCATTAGAATTTTAATTAAAAAGCAGTGAAATAGCTCTTTATCGCAGCTCCTAATCAGAAACTTAACCCCCATCCTCTTTTTGTTGCTTCATTTGATGAGATAACGGACAGATATCCATTAAACCTTTCAATATATTTCCTTCATATCTCATTATGTTTTTTAAATTGTTCAAACTGCATTTATGTACTTTAAAGCGTTAATTGCTGAATCGTTTGAGTTTAATTGACATATGGCACCAACGAGCCACGTTATGTTTAGGATTTTAAAGAGCTTAAAAAAAAGAGGCCAAACTATATGCTTAGAATATTTATTTGCCTTTATAAGTTAACCAAAACTCCTTTAGACAGTTTATTGCATCAGTATGTAAAGAATGCATCGTGCTTGAACGGATGAATTAGGAACTATATTTTGAAAATGTATTTCTAAATATTACTTAAAAACATGCAACAAGATTTCATGATTTTATTTTTTCTTGATATATTGCCGGTTATATGAGGCATTTGTGCTACTGAATAAAGAAGGTCCTGTGTGAAGGATTAGCAGTGAAGGCGCGAGCCGCTGTATACCTCCCAGGCTCGGACGTTTAGTGGCTCATTCAGGGGATTTGGGTGGCATTTATGGGATAACTGAAACTGCTATAAAACAGCCGCAAACTGGTTCATGCGTGTGTGTGTGAGACAGGAATTAATGCAGTGAGTCACTTTTATAAGTTCAACCCTGCCTTGGTCTCCTGTCGCTCCTCCACTGGAAGGGGGAAACCGCAGCAGAGCCACAGCGGCGGAGCCCTGTCTCACTCAGGAAACTCCCTGGAAACCACCACAACCTGTCTGTGTGACCTCTCATGCACTTCACACATGCATACTTATGCCTATCTGCTGCATCAATGCAGAAAAGCTCAGCCAAATAAACAGTTTTTGTGAAATTTGGGTTAATTTTTTGTTTTTGCGTAACAAAAAGAGTTTCTAACAGGGTTTACATTATTAAGAAATATAAGATAGATCATTTGCATGAAGCCATGTTAATCATGTCCGTGTCTGTTCAAAGTATCCAAACACAAACACTTCAATTCACCTGGATCTGTGCGAACAGCCATGTTTACACAATACGGCGACACACAGGAAGCGAGAGTATGACCTTTGGAGTCCATTGTGACACGCTCTCTCTGTTCTCGTTTATCAGTTTAGGAAACAAGAGGAGGCGAGCTGATGCAGGGAGCGCTCAGACGTGACACTGCGGGGAGGAAGTGACGTGCAGGAAGCAGTTAAATATTAAACTTCATCAAAAACTCAGAAAAAAAGACATTTAGCCACACAGGTAACGGTATAATTATGGGTGAAAAAATAACATTTTTATTAACAGAATATTATAGATGATAACAAGGATTCACAGCTGATACATACAACCTGATAAACTTGAGTGAAAATAACATAGTATTTCACTGTCTTTACTTCAATAGCTGTGAAATGTGTGCAAAAATAAAATAAAATGGTCAATTATTCCTACTGCTGTTAAGAAAATGAAAACACAAACATTATAACAGTTAAAACATTATTTATTTAAATGATTGCTGGTGTTCCTTTCCACATTATGACTCTTAATATACTACTGTGTGTTGGGATTATTATTAATATTGAATATCTTGTAGATGCAGCTAACTGGCAGTGTGCAGCAACAATAAGGGCTGCACATCCTTTAAGCTAATCGGCAGAAAATATCCAATCTGCAGCTTTTAGTGACATATTTGTGATCCGTATGTTTGCGGGTTGTTTGTTTTTTCACAGGCGAGACTTCAGACGATAAACAAAGCAAAGGCGGCGTCTGATAAACTGTCCTTTGGGGTGAGGTAGTAGGTTGTATAGTTTTAGGGTCATTCCCAAGCTGTCAGATGACTATACAACTTACTGTCTTTCCTGAAGTGACTGTGATGCCTTCAAGATGCCATCAAGAGCTTTTCAAGATCATCATGAAACCAAGTCATACGAGTCTGAACCTGGGAAATGCTCTACAAACCTGTGGAAATAGTTTTTTTAATTTTTTTTTAATATGTCATAACGTAGTTGAATTATAGAATTAAATCTTAAGTTTATTTGTTTAGAAAAGTACAATGTCCAGCCAAAGCGGATGATTTATTTTAAACCCTTTAGAAAACTCTTTGATATTCTGCAAATTATATATCTGTCTTCTGTTTGCTTGCCTTTACATCCTTAAATATATATGTTCATCATTATCGTTTTAAAAAATCTTTGAAAATGTCAATTGATCCTCGTCATTGATTTGTGTAAAAACGAAGCCGTTCTGCCTCCATTCATGCGGTGGCAAACTTCCGCCTGACGTCTCCATTCAACTTGAGACTTGTGGTGTTCGCACAGGGTGAGGTAGTAGGTTGTGTGGTTTCAGGGTTGTGATTTTGCCCCATCAGGAGCTAACTATACAACCTACTGCCTTCCCTGGAGGGCAGCAATACGTCACAGGAGCACACACTCCCGTCCGCCATATTTCTGATGACGCCCGCTATGCATCCGTGTTTGGTTTGACCCTGAACAGGTAAGTGATGCTGCTTCATCCCGTGTTCAATGTAACCTGACTCCTTGAGCAATTTTAACAAACACTGTATGCTTGCTTCATTCATTCATTTGCTTTGTACTTTTCTGTTAATCAAATAAAGACATATGAACAGTAAAAAATGACTGAAGTTGGATCTTTATGCTCTAAGGATTCTGCAGCAAAGTTAATTATTATATTTTCTATTTAAAAACCTGATATTTTAATCCTTTTAAGCAGCTCATTATATAACAAAGCTTATCTGAGAAGCTTCTGAAGGTTATCTTCCATCTGTCTCCATTTATTTATTTTAAATCTATCTTCTGGCAAATTAAAGCAATTCAGTTTTTTAAAGATTTCAAATTTAAACAGATGAAAAATTGAACCTGTAAGATTGGAAACATTTAAGGTTTAAATTTTTTTGAAGATAATTACACTTATAGCAACATAACGTCTTATAATAGTCCACAGTTGGATCACAAATGGAGCAGTGGGTCAAGGTAAAAACAAAGCGGAAGCAGAAACGCCCACCTCTTTGTCTAAAACACGCAGAGCCGCCTTCCAGGAGTTTGGAAGTCAACAGGAAAAGATGACAGCCAAAAGGTTTGCAGTTTAAATCCCAGGATGGGATGAGGACACATTTGAATCAGTGCCATACATTAATTTACAGTAGATGGCGCCAGACGCTGTCGCTGTTTGGAGGGCATTTCCACTGATATTTGGAGGTATGCAGTAAAGATTTTACGCCACAGATCCAACTACTGGCAGGACTTTTTATTCAGACTGAGTTTTCCTTAAACATATTGAAATATTATTAAAGTTTCATGGTGGAATTATGGAAGGCTATCTTATATTATTTAATAGTCTAAATAGTCTCATTTTATTAAGCAAAAAATAAAACTAGCAAACTAACATAATATTCGCCTAAATTGTTTTAACTACTTAAGATTAGAATATTCTATATTAATATATAGTACACTTTATGTATGGCATTAACAACATTCATTTATAAAAATAATTCTTACAATTGGCTAAGGACTTGGTCTTCCTTTGATTGTTTTCAAACCACAGATCTGATCATGCCGCACTACAGTATAAAAACCATATTATAGAGAATATTGGAGGAGAAATACTGCATATGCTTCTAATATATGGTGTATGGATAAATACCTTAATTGTGCATTAGCACGTTTTTTAAAACTGATATATATATAGAATAAATCCTTTTGATTAAATTAACACTGTCCATTTTTAAAATGCTGATATATAGATTTACTTACAACTTAATTTTTTTTTAAAGGGAAACAAGCACCAATTTATTTGTAAACTTTTTATTCCTCCATTTTTTTCCCCACATTTAAGCACGTATGGCTTAACCTACAAATTTGTTGGCTTTATTCCCTTATCTTAATTTTTAAAATCTATTTTCAGTCAATCTTTTTTTTTTTTTTTTTTTTTTTTTTTTTTTTTTACTGCAAATACACTCTAAATGTGTGTTTGGTAATTAGTATAGAGTGTATTTTACAAGGCTACCATTTTTGAATTTGCTATTTATATTTAGGTATTTTTGGTCTTCCATAGATTCACAAATTGGAATCTAATGATGCAAATAAGCCATAATTATTCAAAAGTAATATTCACTGATATCATTGGATGTTAAAAACATATTGTTTTTGTATTTATTTTTTAAAATTAAAGTAGTTTTACTATGGCTGTGATGCCGAGGTTTGAATCCTGGTTGCGACAGGAAAGCATAAAAATGGTCAAGTCTGAGTATCTCATTCTCATATAAGAATGTGAGAGCAGCCAAAAAGATACAAAAATAAACAAAAAATATATTAAACTAACTGGAACTTCCACAGTGGGCTCACAAATCAAATCAGTCTAGCAAAAGTCAGTAATGACCTTTCCTTTTTGATGGATAACAATAAAAAATAGTATAGTCTAGGATGTTAATGTGAGAATAATAAAAAAAGAATAAAAGTATAAATACCAAGCATGAAGTTTAAAGTAATGATATACTTAACTATTAGATTCTGACAGTTTTGGTCTTCTATATTTACTTGCTCCACTATTTATTTTTTATTTTTTTACTTTTGACACAAATGCCTTTTTTTTTTTTTTTTTTTTACTTTATTTATGTAACAAACCAATAGTGTAAAAAGACTCTTTGAGGTACAAACATTACAACATGGGTAGATAAAAAAATAGGCAGAACATGGGGCTAAAAACAAGAACAGATACATAAACATTAAAGCCAATTAATAAATATTGAGCAAGATTTAAAACAAAAGAAAAGTAGAAATACTTTTTTTTGGCAGAAACAGATTTCAAATGTTTCAATGAGGTGTAATACAATTTAAATTAGTTAAGAAAAAATTCAAAACAAGAAATAGAACCCTTGCATTTACAGCAATGTATATGATATTTGACCAGCAAGAAAACAATATTAACCATATCCGGAATTTTACTATCAGGGTCATCAACATAATGCAACACGTGGGTGATTATTATTTCTTGGATGAATTGCAACTCATAGCTGATGCAGTAGCGAGACAAGCCAATCACCAGCGTCTGCTTTTGGATTTGCGCCATCTGATTGGTTGGCTCCAAAGGTGCGTCGGTGGGCGTGGCCTGCTGAAACAGAGACGCAGATTTTGACAAGTAGGGAGGGTGAGACGCGTCAAGGTCCTGACGGAGTTGGTCACAGGATCAAAACACGTCCCTCCCTCCCTCCCAGTAGCCTCCTACAGACTTTCAACATAATCTGGAAATGCTTCGAGAGGCAGCAACTGAGGTAATTATTAAAACTAGTTATTATAAAAAAGCAAATGTTAATGACATTATACTCAGAAAGTGTTGCTTTGGGTTTCTGATTTTGTGTTAAACACGACCAAGACTGAAAATACTAAATTTACTCCTAATGTAACTCATAACATATATAAAAGACTACATTAAAGCAATATTTAACTTTTTAAATGTTGTTTTCTGTTATTGCCAGTGTTTGATATTAAGTAATAAGTGATCCCAGGCTTAGATTGAACCTTAAACTATTAACTATCAGTCACAGTTTTATACTTTCTGTCATCTGGTAACATGCTTTCTTGAGGTTAGTACGCGTCAACCACTTCTGCTTGTTTCCATTTCTTCAGTGTCTCTAAAGATAGAGCACACAGGGGAGTTCAAAACAATGGCCCTCTGAGGTGATGGGGAAATGTAGGGGGTGGGCTGGGGTCATCCCTAAGAAAGGAAGTAAAGTCACTCAGCAAGGTCGAAAACACAGTTGGTGGGTTGTTTAATAATTGCATGTAGCAGAGAGACCACTGCTTTTTCGGTAATATTGTACATTTTACAAATATGTAACAAATCTTGTATTTAGAGTAGAATAGAATTGCATTGAAGAGAGATTTTGTTGGTTGCTCAGGTTGGTACAAATATCCCCCTGGGAGGTGCAAATTGATGCATGGTCAGCACAAAATGTCCAAAAGCATCATGCAGGGCCTCTTTCTATTCCCCAAAGTGGGAATATTAAACAACCAAATCTCTAGGGCAATGTTTTCTAGGCCAAGGACCCCAAAACTGATGGCGAGATGGAGCGGGGACTCCCTAATTACATATATTGTATGAAGTTGTGTTTTATCACACTGGTCCTATAGTCACTCTATTACAGATGGAGTCAAGTAATGAAAGTAATTTCGC